CACAGGAGTGATGGGAAGGGGAGGAGAGGGATGGGGAGAGAGAGAGAGGCGGCGTGGTGGCAAGCAAGCGCGGAGATGTGTTTTATCACGTGTTCACATCAAATGCACATGGAAAACTACAGCACCTCAAAGGATCGTGGGATACCCTCCAGGCCCCAGCACAGAAGCAATGATAGACGTATATATGCCATTTTGGGATTTGATGTATACAAAGACAATACAGTGGGCATATCCATATGTTCCCTTTCTTCTCTGCTTTCACGAAGGAAACATCTCCTACATCATATTTAAAACGTGATATATTCATTTAGATGACAACCTGTTTGCTCATTAGACATGGATTGTCCTGTAATATACTATGACATAATAAGACATCCTTATCAATAGTATGATTTGAAAGTCATTGTCTTACATGTTTGCATGCTGTCAGGATATTCAGCCAGTCTTCTCCAGAAGTTGGAGACTCATTTACATTCTCATGGAGGGAGGCAGGGTTGTCAGTTTTCGCCCACTTAGTTCTTCTCCTTTGCTACGAGCCAGACGGTGGGTTGAATTCCATAATACCCCAGTGTGTGAGTAAGATCCCTCTCCAGACACTATACCTGCATAAGATGCTGCACTGCAGCTACTATCCCATCATGCAGCTCTGTCTCTATTCCTCCCTCCCACAATCCCTTTCCATCTCTATGAAAGGAGGGTTAGGGATTTTGTTTGAATTGTTGAATTTAATTAATTGATTTTCAGACTTTCTCCATGAGTTGTAGAATAATGTGTGTGGTATGTCATATTTAAATATCTGATTATTTTGTGACAGGAAAAAAATGATTATGTTTGAGTTAGTTTAGTAGTGCATGTGTGTATTTCTGTGGCATGTTGATGATGGAATCAAGGAGTCTAGTCAAGTTTACCTAAATATTTCAAATATAAAACTTTAGGGCAGTTAGCACAAAATACCTGAATTAATTAACCTTGCGAGGGCATTCGATAAAAAGCCGCATTTTTCCCTTGACAGACTGACACTCCCTGTCTCCATCAATGCTACTTTAATTAATTTATTAATTTTTCTAGAGTAGATTAATCAAATATTCAATCTGAGTTGTTCACTATAGTTCAATCTGCAGAAGAATTTTGCAATTCAGAACTGAATGTCCTACAAAAACATGACATTTACACAGTGCCCACTAATTGGTGTGCTGTATAAATATATTTCCATTTTTTGTAATGTGTGATTTATCTGCATCCCAGTCTCCAAACAAGAATGTCAATAATGGTTAATGCCAAAATGTACATATAGTTGGTTAACATAAGTAATAAGTAGTAAACATAATTCAGAAACATTGCCCCTATGAGAGTACTATTCAATATAATATTATTTCACTATTATTACTGATGCATTAATGTGTAAGTAGCATTTTATTCTTGCAGTTGGTCAAAATGGATCCAATTTGAACTATTTTATATACACTTTCGATATAGATGTTATATATAAATATAGATTTTAGGGAATATATACATACAACAACAAACTTTTTGGATCCAAAAGCACAACTCAGGTTCATAGTTCAGTTTTACTTGTGCTCTGAAACAGCCAAAAGTCAGTACCAGACAAGCAAGGACGGGAATGCAAACTTATCCCATGAGAGATCAAGCAAAGTCCAAAAAGCTGGCAGGGGGTCATGTAGGCAGGGATGATGGCTGGAATAAATGACAATAAAATGGCAAGAGAATTAGTATACAGAAAGAGAAGAGAGGATATATAAAATGTGGGACTAGAATCATGTTGATATTGTGACAAAAAGAGAGTCAAAGATCGAAAATGGATTCAGCTGGGAACAGAAGCATCATCGTTTTCCTTTCTCGCCTCAACGCTACTGCTTCACCATTGAAGTCTTTATCATAATGTTCTGTATAGATCAGAAAATACGGCAATAAGTAAGCTACTTTACTTCAGTTGTCTCTTTTCTTATCATATTGCTTTGTTGGTGGTAGGCTGCTTGGCTTCAGGCAATGTTGATCCAATGCCAGATAATTATGGGGGTTCGAATGGCACTTGTTTACTGTCAACTCCCAGCTTATATTTGTCTCATTCTGGCTTTGTCCCCATGAATGTAATATGAGCGTGTGTGTGTGTGTGTGACTGTTACAGGTGGCCGCCCAGTAGGTGGGAAAATGCAGGAAGTCTGCTTGTCTGTGTCCACATGTATCAGACGCAGCATGTTTTTCCCTTTCAGAGGCGAGGTATCCTGTGTGTGTGCGTGTGTGTGTGTGTGTGTGTATGTATGTCGCCGATCACACTGGGCGGCTGACTTCCAGGAACCCCTGCAGCAAAAACAGGCACTGTGTGTTTCCTGCTCTCACGCACCGTTATCACAGGACACACACACACACACACACACGGATCATTGCCCTATTCTCTTTTCCCTTGCAGGTTTCCTCAACGCCTATCCTTGTGCCTCCGGCCGTCAAGATGTTTCGCTGTGATTGTCATGAGAGAACTTGCTCTCCGGTAACAAACCAGAGGACACAAATAGGCGAGGAGTGACGGCATCCTTACAGCCCTGCTGATTTTTCTGACCACGTTAGTTTGCTCAGTGAGTGGGCATGTTATATCTGCAGCAATTCTGACCTTTCTCATGTCTGATTTAGGGGCTACCTTTTCCCCATATGTACTCATCACAGACTTCCCTTCCTCCTTACTTTCATTATGAATCATGCCTCATTTTCTTTTCCTCTCTTCTTATCGTTCAGAATTCCCTCCCTCCCTTTCCATCCCTCACCTTCTCCCCTTATATCTATTCACACATCCTGTGTATCCCACTGCCTTTGTCAGAGATTGACAAAAGGACCCAGACTGGAAAATGGAAGTTGAGCAAAGAGTCCTTGCTATTTGCTTGTGAGGGTGCCAGAGACTGTATCTATCCATATTCCCTTTTGAGAACACAATGCAACCCACCACTAAAGCACAAGGGAAAGATGAGAGGCAGAGCGAGAGACGGGGAAAGTTGAAGTGAAAGAGAGAAATGCTCAATGGCACTGTTGCAAACAATTGCCATTAATGGCATCATCTTTTCCCCACAGAGATTGCATTGAGGGAACAATGAGCTCCATGCTGATGGTGCGCTAACAACCCACTGGATGTTTTACATATAGTACATGACAGACAAAAGCAAAAGATGATGCTCCATAAGGTTGATGAAGGATATTCCAGTAAAAGAATGATTATTTTTTTTGGTTAAAACAAACATAATTATGCATTGTTTTTCAGGTGTATCCTTTGTATTGCCTGGAAATTAGAGACCAGTGGATTGTTGTTAAATCAGAATCTGACATCAGACAACAGTTACATCAATGTCATGTCTCACAATTAAGTGAATTTAGTCATTGTAGCTAACACCAGCACAATGTCAATTTGTTTTAGCCAAAAGGCCTACAAGTATATTAGCATTGCAGAATAGAATAGAAGATTTTAATTTACGAGATGTTATGAACGAGCTATGGTGCATGACTTGTTCAACCATGCAGTTCAAGTGGACCGGTTGTTATCACCGAGTTGTAAACGTAGCTTCTGCTCTGTGCTTTCACTGGCTCTGCGGGCGAGACGACTTCCAGATGGTCCAGGGAAAGTGTTTGCCTTAGGTTACTGCAGGCCAGCCTGCCTGTGCCTTTTTCAGCTAAGGGGAAGGATAGAGATACAGTGTGTGTGTGTGTGTCAGCACAAACATGCATCATGCAGTCCTACTTTTTTTGCTCACACACAACAGCCAACCTGCTCTTCAAGCACTCAGCTGGCTGGTTCTTGTCCATGACACTCCACTGCTGTCTATGACGGTTCTCAAAGCACCACTACGGGTCCATAAGGACACTCCAGGGGGTCCCAAGCAAAAATAAATCAACAGTTTCATATGTAGTTGAATTGATAGGCATAAATATTTTGATCACTTGTTTCAACAACTAACGAACTCCCCAAATAAATAGAGATTTCAATAATTTCACTCAGGAATGAGTTGCAACTACAGTGCCATACAAATAATCTACAGTCTTTATTCTGTGGAAGTATAAGAGGCTTAATAAGAGTTATACAAATCAAGTGGCTATCAAATT